GGCGACCTTCTTTTTTGCTAGTGCTGCTCAAGCACTGCTTTGACGACGACCGGTGCGCTGTGGCGCGGGCAGAAGTAGTTAAGGGACTGCAGCCTCTGCGAGAGGCCAGGCCAGGAGTCGGCCAGGAGTCGGGAGCTTCAGGGGAGGTCTACTTTGGTTGCTTCGGCCGCAGGCGTCAAGCAGATGAGCTTCGGTCCAAGTGGAGGGCCGCCTGGAGGCACCTCGGGCTGAAAGGTCGCTGAAAGGTGCCATTCCTTGGTTGGCACGCAAGGTTCTGCCATGAGCTTCGCTCCAAACAGTGGAGCACCTGGGCTTGGCAATGGTGGTCATGCCCTCAGAATGGCACGTTCCTTGCAATGTTGAGTACCCTTCCGCAGCATTGTGCAGCCGTTTTCGCGTGTCCGGAGGTGTTCGCATGAGCTTCAGTCCTGACGGCCCTTCCAGCCGAGAGCTCAGCCCCATCCAGCGTAGCTACGGACACCATGCTGCTACATCGGCATTCGCTGATGATCTACAGAGGTTTCAGCGGATCAGGCATGCTGCGCATTCCATCTTGTTCCAGCAGCGAGCAAGGGAGAGGCAAGCACGCAAGGGCTCGTGTTGCAACCAAGGTGCACCGCCTTTGACCTCGAGCAGTGCAGGCCTGATGCAATGCTCTGGCGTTTAAGTAGGTGTGCATGTTGAATTTGGTCCCAGCAGCGTCACCTGTGCTCTCAAGCAACTGCGGGTTGTCCGTTGCAGGCATGAAGATGAGCTTCAGCCCTGATGATGGACCAGGTCGTGGTCTTGCTCTGTGAAGACTGGCGCTTGTCCTATTCTGCACGGAGCAGGTGCCCGGACCAGCTTCGGCCCTGACGGATCCACAGGAGGCCTTGTTTTGCCAGGCATTCCAGTCTTCCGCAATGCATCAAGCAATATCAAGCAGTTCCGAGGGTCTTGAGCATGGACTCGCTTGACGTGCTCTGGCCGACTGGCGACACCAGAGAAGAGTACCTGCCGGCCAGATACGTGCTACGAATGAGA